ATGCCTTCCAAGAGTGGCGTCACTTCCTCGAAGGAGCTGCACATCCAGTGACTGTTTATACGGACCACAAGAATTTGGAGTACTTCATGACAGCTCGAATTTTGAATCGTCGTCAAGCTCGATGGAATATGTCTCTATCACGATTTGACTTTATTATCACCTATCGCCCTGGAAAACAGCAAGGATTATCTGACGCATTATCGAGGAGATCGTATCTTGCGCCAAAGGCTGGAGAAGCAGCGTTTGATCAACAATGTACAACATTGTTGAAACCAGAAAAATTCAGGATTTTTGCTACTGTTGCAACTATCGATGACGGCTTCCTCAGCGAGGTACGTACTGCGACCATTGAGGATTCTATAGCTCTTGACATCAAACAACGTGTCGATAATGACAAGTTTAAGGTGGAGGGAGATCTTCTGTATTTTGAGGAGCGGTTGTATATCCCGAAAGGACCAACTCGACTCCGAGTACTTCAATCTCGCCATGACTTTCCAGCTGCGGGACATTTTGGATTCAACAAGACTTTGGAGCTCATTTCACGAGATTTTTGGTGGCCCCAAATGTGGAAGGATGTGAAGGAATTTGTCCTTTCTTGTGATGTTTGTTCAAGATCCAAGATCCCTCGACATCGTCCGTATGGACTTCTCCAGCCATTGCCTATTCCACACCGACCATGGTCTTTAGTTTCTATGGACTTCATTACGGACCTACCGCCATCGAATTCATTTGACAGCATCTTTGTTGTGGTAGATCGATTTACCAAGATGGCGCATTTCGTGCCTTGCAAGAAAACATCGTCAAGTGAAGACACCGCAAGACTCTTTCTTAATAACATATATCGTTATCATGGCCTACCAGATGATATCGTGTCGGATCGAGGTACTCAGTTTGTATCCAAGTTTTGGAGGTCCCTCTTTGAGATATTGAAGGTGGATATTAAGCTCTCTTCGGCTTTTCATCCTCAAACTGACGGTCAAACGGAGCGGGTGAATCAAGTTTTGGAGCAATATTTACGATGCACCATCAACTATCAACAAGATGATTGGACTGCATATCTACCGCTTGCTGAGTTCGCATACAACAACACTCTTCATGCGTCAACTCAACAAACACTATTCTTCTCCAACTACGGATACCACCCCAAGCTCGATTTATTGAGTTCTTCAGCAAATAACAACCCAGCAGCTGAAGGATTTGTGAAGCAACTATCGGAGCTTCAAGCGACGTTGAAGCTTCAATTGCAATCTGCCCAAGAGAGTTACAAGGCATCTGCAGATAAATATCGAAATGAGGTGCCTACTTTTAAAGTTGGAAGTAAAGTATGGCTTCTTCGACGGAATATCAAGACCAAGCGGCCATGTGACAAATTGGACTATCGGAGATTAGGGCCATTTGTTATCGGGAAGCAGATCAATCCGGTGGCATATCGTCTGGAGTTACCAGCTACTATGAAGGTACATCCAGTCTTTCACGTGTCTTTGTTGGAACCTTATCGAGAGTCAGCTTTTCCCCAAAGAGTACAAAGTCCGCCACCAAGTATCGAAATTGAAAACCATGAGGAATACGAGGTAGAAAAGGTACTAGATTCACGGCATAATAGAAGAAAATTGGAGTATTTAGTGCATTGGAGTGGATACGACATCAATGAACGAACGTGGGAGCGTGCCGAAAATCTTGCTAATGCGCCAAAAAAGGTACAAGAATTTCATCAACGATATCCTCATAAACCTAAGCCAATTCAACGATAGCTTCTTGCTGAAGCTTGCTCATCAAGTAGCATAAAAAGGGAGGAGGGCACCTCCAAAACCCATAGTTCGATAGTGTAGAACTTTGTTAGCAACTATAGTTTGCTCTCATCATTTTAGCCTTTAGACATGGATAGTCAAGATACTACACTTGTTATGTCATCTCAAGCGACTAGCTCACGAAGACGATCGCGAGATGAAGAACCGCCTGCACCACGACGACGTCGAAGGATACCGAGCAACAGATCGCTAGTAATTGTATTTGAAGTCGAGCCTGCCTACGATGGTCAGTCAGAAGGTGTGTTTGGAGGACAGTTTCACAATGAAGACACAGAAGTCCACGCTTGGTCAGAGGTTGAAGGTGTTGGTCACTACCGTTGGCTCCAAGGGCCGATGAATCATTTGCCTCGCAAACAACAATTGGAATTCATAGCGGATGTGATGCGACAGATTTTCATTTTCTTGCGTTGGTATTGACTGATAACAACATTGCTTCTCGGAGACCTCGAAGCTAAAAGAGGAGGTGATGTCATGGACATACATTGGAAGATTCTTCGAATATTCTTCTAGAATATTCTCTAAAGATTCTCTAAAGATTCCTTTAGAAGGTTCTAGAAGATTCTTAGAATATTCCCTAAAGATTCTCTTAGAAGGTTCTAGAATATTCTGATAGATTCTAGGAAGTTGCTCGAGAAGTTTCCTAATTAGTAGAAGTTGTTGGAGAAGCGTCCTAGTTAGCGGAAGTAGCTCGAGAAGCTTCCTATTCAGTAGTATATATAGGAGTCGAGGCTGAAGGATTCTTCAGTCTCGACAACACATCTCTTGGAGTTCTAGCTCACCTTTTTGGTGTTGTTCTTGTACTCATCTGTTTAATCTAGTTTTGCCACTTCTTCTTGAACTTCTCGTTAGATTTCAAGTCTGTATTTTGTGTCCGTGACACAGAGCTACATGCAACGATGAAGGCGTAGTTAAAAGAGGCTCAAGAACAACAAAAGGTCAATGCGGATGTCTGTCGAAAGAAACAACCATCATTCGTCTTGGGTGATAAGGTATGGCTACTTCGTCGCAATATTAAGACCACTCATCCTTGTAACAAGTTGGACTATCGAAGCCTAGGACCATTTTCTATTTTTGCACAAATCAATCCAGTTGCATATCGTTTACATCTACCAGGGTTAATAAAAATCCATCCAATATTCAACGTGTCTCTTCTTGAACCATACAAGACAATGGACATACCAAGAAGACGATAAGCTCCACCTCCTCCTATAAAAGTGGAAAATAATGAAGAGTTTGAAGTAGGAGAAGTCTTAGATTCAAGGCGACGCCGAAATAAATTAGAATATCTTGTCTATTGGCACAGACATGGTATTAGTGAACGCACATGGGAGCCAATAAAGAATCTTGCAAACACAGCAAAGGCGGTGGAGGCTTTTCATCGACGATATCTATCAAAATCAAGATGAAAACCTTCTTTATAAAAGAAACAACATCTAGGCAAGATAACATTCTACTTTCAATTCTTATTCGTAGCTTCTTTGTAGTAGTGACGCTCAGGAGATGGAGAACCAATAACCAGTGGATTCGACTCAAGAGCCTTCATTTGCTGACCTGTAAGATGAGACATTACGATTGTCACAACCTTCAAGACGACGCAATCGAGATGAAGATCTTCAAGAACGACATGTTCTTCCTCGAATAGATGGCGAGATATAACGCGTTTGGTATCACGATTTGGGAAGGGACTCTCGATGTTTGGTGATTTTGCTAGAGGTAGGAACAACTCCTGATGGTGTTCCAAATATTCTATTCGAAGGAAGTTATGAAGGCCTCAACAATGATCAAATAACTGGGTGGACTTTCCGCCCTGGTATGGGACACTACTGATGGTTGAGAGGCCCTATCAATCATCTTTGAAGAGAATAAAGATCAAAGTATGTGGCGAATACAATTCGTCGCATCATAGATTTCCTCAACATATGATGACCGCTCCTCATAGAACTCGTCCCTAGAAGGGGGGGTAATGTCACGGACATAATCTTGTAAGCTAGTAATTACATATACAAATAGATAGAAGTAAGTAAAAGTAGGTAAAAATAAGTTAATTCTATAGTATTTAATATGAAAGCTTCCTAGAAGCTTCATAGACACTGCTTTGACTTCATAGGTGTCTTTAATTGACTTTTTGGATTAGAAACATGGTCAGAAGTTGGCCATGTGCCACACATATTGTTAGCTTGAAGATCAAGCTAATTTTGTGGCCCATACGTAGAAAAACTTGCCTTGTAAGTTAAGGCATGTGTTCTACAAAGTCAACACATATTAGAGGTCCTATAGAATGTCGCCACGTAGCCCCTAGTTAGATAGTATATATAGAGACAAGAGTGAAGGCTTCTTTACTCTTGTCAACTCCTTTCTTGCTTCCAGTCTAGTTTCAAGGGTCTCTAGTTTTCTTGTCTTTTGGCAATAGCTATTCCAGTTTCTCTTTCAATATACATACTTGTTTATTTATATTTTGTTACCTTTCTTTGAGTGAAGGCTCACTTGTCTGAATTGTTTTTTTATCGAGTTCTTGTCCTTGACAATTACATAATAAAATTTATCATTTCATAACCAAATTTATTGTACTTATTTCAATAATAACTAATTATTTTATCACATCTAATTATAACTGTATTATTTTAGATTGTGACATACTTTTAAAACACATGAAAATATCTTTGTATCTTTAGAATATACTTCTAACAAATTTAATAAGATTATTGCTAATTTATCTTGGTTTATTTTTTATGATTTGATATCATGAAGCAAATGCTTTTTAATATCTTTTATTAAAAAAACTTTATTTCATTATAAAATTTTCTGATACACTTCAAATTTTCATTAAAGTCATCTTTTTAAACATATATAACAGTTTTTTTTCATTCTCTACATAATATCTTTCAATTCAATTGAATTTATTTATGTTACAAAGAAAAAGTTTTTTTTTCAAAGTTTCACATTCTTCCTTCAATTGCCCAATTGTCACAACTTCTTCAATGTTATTTGGCTAAGTGCATATTAATAAGGTTTATTAAGTTTTGCGTAAGTAAAAAAACGATTATAGCAAGTTTAGATTTGTAAAGGTAAAAGGACCTCTCTTATTTTAAATTATTCATAAAAACTGGAAGCATAAAAAAAAGTTGAACCTATTAAAAATATTTTCAATATCCAAAAGAAATAAAATGAAAAATTATAAAAGAGGTTGAGGAATAGAGACAATTGAAGAATAATTGAGTGATATAATAGATCCCGAAAAGACCAATGTACAAATAATTCTTACTTAAAAAGATTGCAGTCTTTCTATTTCAATAGAAGTTGAACACCAAATCTACACATTTCAAACCAATAAGTTCAATGTCAGCTAAGAAAGTTCTGTTCCATCCAGCACAATAAGGTTGATAATTTGATTCATACAGTAAATAATGTGGTGCTTCTATATCCAAGTGTGTGCGTAGTTCTTGAGAAGGTTTCTCATTCTATTATTGTTTAGAATTGCTACTGTGGAATCCTTTGCAAAGTTATCAGAGTTCGCTCCACTAATTGATAACACAAGCCTGCCAAGAAGCAAACTATGGGCACTTGTGAAGATTGATGGCATGCATTAAAACTGCTCTTTCATCCCCTCTTTTATCACATCGGTACACCCTCCAACATGGTAGACAATACTATGTATGAGGCGATCAACCAATACCTGATCCCTGCCACTGATAAATTTTGTTGCCGCAGAACTGAAATAATCTCTGAACCGCTCCGCTGCACCGAAGAATCTCTCGTCTACAGGTTTCAATCTTGTGGCCAAAGGACACTTCCCCCATGACCTGGTTTGTTGCCCAACTTGTAAAGTGGCCCTTCCGCTGCACACAAAGAAATGAGATGAGAATGTAGACAGTTCAGTTTTTCCATCTTGCAGCCCACACTGGTTCAGGAGTCTCATACCATTGTATCCGCCGAGGACGGGATCTTCTGCCAGGAGTAGAGGGGTATCCAAATCTATGAATCTGAGCATACAAACAAACAAGTGCGAAATACAGAAAAATGGTGAGCCACACTATGGTGAAGCGAGTCAGATTCCCGGATCAAACTTGAGCAACCTGTACATTTTCAATGTGAAAGGAGCCTGGACACGTCAAAAATAGGCATTTTCTAGCAGCCAACTTTCCATTCATCTACGATAAGATGTGAATTGAGAAAGAATTTAGGGTCTAGGAAGTTCTCAGCCTCAGTACTTAAGCGGTTGCAAAATGGGGCATGGGTTTTTGTGGAATCCAACCTGAAAGAATTTAGGCCTGCAGCCATGTGAGCTGCAAAACCCATTGCAAGGCGCGTTTCGACCATGCCTCCTATCATTAGTCCCAGGCCCGCTTGTTGCACAAGGGACACCACCTATTAGATACACGAGACAGACAGTTAGTAGATCACCCCTCCCCAGAGTATACTCCATAAAATCCTGTCCTAATAGGCGTAAAATCCTTAGAATTTCGACGGCGAGAATAAGAAGAAATGGTTTTCAAGTCCGATCTAGTACTTCCAGTGCGACCAAAACCCCCATCTTGCATAGCTTGAGGTTCACAACGTGAGCCAATTTGTTGTTGACAATGCGAGTCACATCCTCCATGTTTCGACAGCTCTCATCAGCAGCTATGAGGACGCCGAATCGGTCAAAAGCTTCGGTGGTTACTTGATGAAGTCCTTCCCAGTCGTCTCGTGCCACGGGCTGCTCAAGTAAAACTGGAGATAACTCCAACTCTGCAACCAAATCCTCCAATAAGCCCTGCATTTCGTATTATACTCGAAGGAGCACTTCATCAAGGAGCAATACTCGAATCAGGATTGAAAATTAAATGTACCGTGGAGTTGCTTGAGAACCTCAAGAGCATCATTGGCATTGTAGCCCCCGTTTGCGTCAAGGATAAGTGAACACTTGGGATGGTTTTGACGAATTGCTATCAGCATGTCAATGTCATCTTGTAAGGCCCTGCCACCGACTTTTGTCTTGATCGTTTGAAATCCTCGAGCTTCGTACTCCGAGGCCAACATTCCCGCTTCATTCGCAGAGCATATTGGAATCTACAAAGCATCGAAAAATCACTTGAACTTGATTAAACAATCCGTCGCAGACAGTTTTGCGATCCTGAAATCCTGTCTGAAACAATCTGGAACAGCCTGCTGTAGATGGATGCCTTACCGTGATATCTGTGACAACCGTATTGCTGTGACCACCAAAGAGCCACCAAAGAGGCATACCCACGCTGTGTGCTAAAGCATCGAAAATTGCCATCTCCAAACCTGCACGTACCTGCTCCATGCTCACAGAGCTTAAACGATAGTCCTGCAATCTGCAAGAATTTACACTAAAAACTACCATGCCCTAAAACCAACTAACGGACGGAAAGATATGAAACCTAAGAGACTCACATTACCAATTTTCAAATGCGAAATACTTGGTAAATAGGCCGAGCAAGGCAAGATTGTCAAAATACAAGTCCTTGGTAATCAACAGCAGAAGCAGTAGTAGATAGTCCGATTCCTCTTCACTAAGACAGGGTTGGACAAAATGTCAAGATTCAGGATACGTGTGGGGAAGGGGGAGAGGGATTATATATTCTTACCGAGGCGAAGTCATGGCCAGGGAGCAAGTGGGCAACATTCTCCAGCACCTCCCTGCAGCTCATGGCCGGCGAGTTCTTCAGCAAAGAGCATATTTGCAAGGCCTTGGACAACGCAGTGGGCTGGTCCTCAGCGGTAACGGCCGGCAGAATGGAGGTCTCGCCCCAGCCCACGCTCCCATCCATCAGCTGAATACGAACTGCAACATTTCCCACGCACTCCAATCTCGACGAAGAGATGGTGAAGGCGGCTTTGAGCGGGACGTTTAATACACGGGCTTCTGCTTCTACCACTTTTATGATCGAGAAATCCAATAATGTCAGTAGGCTGGTGAGTGGAGGGTAGGAAAATGCATCACCTCCACGCTGAACAGGCGGAATCCGACCAGTCCCACTCATTCTTGCCTCGCCACGACCTCTATATCCTCCAAATCACAACTCCGAACCATCATCGACACACGGATTGTCACATCTCACAAATCCATGCCGAAGCGCCACGCACGCGGACACCACAGACAAACCACCCGATTAAAAAGAGAATAAGACAGCCACGGTATGAACTTGAGTCTCCAACACTCAAAAATAGTATTCTTCATCGCAAAGAACCCCTAACTAATGCTTCGTCAGCCCGTATCACATCAGATTCCGAGTCAGCCGTAGTCTTGTCCGCAGTCCGTCCCAGTGGGCCAGCTGACCGATTATGAACATACGATCCGGTTCCCCCCGTCACCTCTGCGCAAAATGTGCTTTCCAGCGCTCAAGTGGGTGAAAGTAACACCATCTTCAGCTGTCCAAACTGGAGGGTAAAAGATATTAACGCATGAGTTTACAAGCATGTATTTACAGAGTAACAGGCAGCAGAGCCATGAACAGCCTCTCAGCGTAAGTTGCAGCGATCGTCTGCAGAATCATGAGCCCATCTTATCTGTTAGCCCCAATCCCCCAGCGTAATCCACTGCATTGTTTAGGAAAGAGCTTCTTCAAAGTACGATCTCCTGCAAGCCTTGATTTGAATTGCTCACTTTCATGCAGACACACTGAGCCCACATCTACTGGCGATGTGCAATGACGTTCCTGAGAATATAAAGTATTGTAAGACCTTTACCTCCTCTTCCGCGCAAGTCTTAAACAATAACTATTCTCTTAGGAAATGCAGCGTGAACCGATTCATTGTCCACAGCAAAGTTACTGAGCTATGAAAGTCTGGAAGCTTGGTGGGGTTAAACGCAGACACAAGATAAGTGGCGCACGTTGCCAGGGTGACAAGGTGCGATCCAATGGGTAGGCCTTGTGCTTGCTAATTAGGTTTTCATGAAGCATGTTTTTTCCGTGTAATTTGAAAATTAAGAAGTGAATCTGCGCCTACATTGGTTCACGAAGGAAATATTCAACCCAGCGAATGACCAAGAAGGATTGCCTTGGTCTCACCAGTACAAACCCAGCAACCACTTCGCTTCCCTGCATGGGCACCTACGTTTTGGCGGCGGTAAATTTTTGGACCTGTGGGGTGTTCAACAGATCCTGCGAAGCTGTCCCTTGCTGGAGGTGAATAGTACTTGACCCATGACTGGGTATAACCAGTTCATGATTGTGTGAGGCAATAACATAATAAGCTTCACAAGCTCGACAATTACATACGAAAGCACGAGGTGAGTAGTTGTTGCACACTCATTCCTGTAGGCAAGAACACTCAGATTCATTTCAGAGAGCGATGATGGGATTGTCACTCCGGAATAGAGATCCTCTTCCCCTTGCTTAAAACTTGTTCAACTTGTTCAACACACAACATTTTAGTCACTGTTGTATACCCTAATCCTAAATTATTTATTTATTCATTTTTTTTACCAGATTTCAGCAACAACCTTTTTTCTTCGAAGGAGATTCATTTGGGTGAGCGACATTCAGGACAAGTGTTTGATAGAGACAAATACAAACTAGTGAAAGAATTTTACTTACATTGGAGGGTCACATTTCATCTTATTCAGAGAGAATATCATGTGATATGGCATTGAAGGCCAAACTTTGATTAAGTCAAAGTAGTTTGTTTAGTAGATTGGTCTAGTTTTGACAATTTATTTTAGTTTTGAGGTAATAGAACTATTGCATAAAAGAGAAAAAAAAATGATTTTATTATAGAAGAGATTAATTGAAAAGATAGTAGCAAACTACTTTAAAAATATAAGTAAAATTTAAGAACATAGTAAAATCAATTTAATTTTGACATTATCTTTTTGTAAAAAAGTATTTTATTTACTTTGTATAGCCAAAAAATGAAATAAATCAAAGTAGATAAAAATAATAATTAAAACATGCATCTTTAGGATAGAATTATGAATAGTTTGTAGCAAAAATTACCTTAAGAAACGAAGAATTAATGCCCAAAGATGACTAGTTATGAACTAGACTCAAAATCAAACCGTGAGACAATCCTAGAATTTTATGTTTGATTGAGGAAGCAAAATTTAAGAGCAAACTAAAGCAAGGCTATTTGGATGATAATTTTGAGTAATTTGAGTTTATAATGACTTTGTAAAGACTTTGCAAAGTCAAGGTTGTTGAAGGATGACTTTGGTTTTTTTGAAAAATATTTTTTTTTTGTATTTTGAAGAATTTTGTAAGATAAGTAGTATATCTATGGATGAAACTTTGTATTTTTTTGGCCATAGTTGTATTAAATATGTGTTGTAAGTTTGATCTTCATCAAAAAAACTATTTGAAAGTTATCAAAATTTAAGAATATTGGGGTCTTGAAAATTGGAATTTAGAAGATAAATGAGAATTTGTAAGATTTTTAATCATTTGCCATGTAGATTGAGATTAAAAAAATTCAGAGAAGTAACAAACTTGATTTCTAAAATTGCAAAAATTTTGAAAGCAATTTGATGATGAAATCAAGAAATATTGGTGCTAGGAGATTAGTATCAAGGTTGAAAAAGGAGACCAGGCAATACTCAGGTAGATTATGAGATTTATTTTTTATTTGGTAGGTTTGATCTTCTTCAATTATTTTTTATCAACTAAGTAATTAAAAATTATACAAGTTTTGAATGAAAATTTATTATAACATTATTAATTATTAAGATTTTAATTTATTATAAGATTTAATTATGATTTATTTAAGATTTAGGATTTAATTTTAATAGAATTTGATTCAAGATTTAAGATTTTCTTGGAATTTGATTTGGATTTGTTTGAGAATTGGGATTTTATTAGGATTTTTTTTAAGATTTAAGATCTGATTATAATTTGATTAAAATTTAATTTAGAGTTTAGGATTTAGGATTTTATTAAAATTTATTTAGGATTTAAGCTTTGATTTAGGATTTGAGGTTTTATTAGAGTTTTATTAGAATTTTATTAGGTTTTATTTAGGATTTAGAATTTGATTAAGATTTATTTAGGATTAGATTAGAATTTAATTAGAATTTGATTAAATTTTAATTATAATTTTTTAAAATTTAGATTAGAATATAATTAGAGTTTAATTAAAATGTATTAAATGTTATTTAAGAACTATTTTTAAATTTATTAGAATTTAAAAATATTTATTTAGGTTTTTTTTAAAAAATTATAGAATGTATTTAATTTAATTATAAGCTTACTTAGATTATTGAAGATACCAAAGCATTTTTTTAAACATCTTATGTATTTTTTTAAGTTATAAATTAAACTTCAAAGTAAGGTCAAATCTTTCTACAATCAAATGTCTAGTGCATTCTTAAGTTCCAGCAGACAATTAAGTGATGTCAAGGTGTCAAGGATATAAATTTCAAAGAAAGAAATTCTTAATACATTCTTGTATTACTTAAAAGAAATAGAAAATTACTCAAAGATGACATGGTATTAAATTAGAATGGCTATTACTAAAGATAAGAAGACTAGAAAGTTTTAAAATAAGATTAAAGACTAAAAAGGCATTAACAAGAGAGAAGAAGGGTTCACTCTTGCCTCCATATATATTCTTAATTAGGAGCTATATGGCGATATTTTACAAGACTTCCAAAATGTATTGACTTTGCAAGACATATATCTTAACTTACAAGGTAAGTTTTCTATATATATGCCACATAATTATATTATTTTGTAAGCTACTAATATGTGGTTAACTTGTTGACCAAGTTTCTAACCTACCAATCAATTACAAACACATCTAAAATCAAAGCAATATCTATAAAACTTCTAGGAAGCTTCTCTAAAAAATATTATGAAATAGATCTAATTTTACATATTTCTACTCAATTATATAGATAAATATTAGAATAAATATGTATGTTTATGACATTATTGTTGAAGTAAAAGTAAAAATAGAATAAATTATCTTGTGGAGAATATTACCTAAGGTAAGTTACTAATGGTCAAAGGGTTGACTCTTGATGTATAAAAAGAGCATCCCATGGATATAGGATGAGGTCAAGGATCAAGAATCAAAGTCAAGAGGACAAAGTATGAACTAGGGAATATCCATTAATAATATAAGAGTAATTAGTATTTGGCATAGGAGACCTTTGTGGTTAGTAAGATGCCAAAGGATCTAAAGACCACAGGATATCCTCGAGATACGTTAGATATCAAAGGATCCTAGGACCAAGGATCATATGTGTAAAAGTCAATGAATGGAAGTTGTCTTGTAGGGCAGCAACCACAACCTATAAGTATTGGGTGTTGGAAGTGAGAGACATCTTATTCCATACTCTCTTTGTGTACAACCTTGCTGATGCTATGTATTGTGACTTCAAAGTTCTATTTCTTCAATAGGTTATGGACCCACTCACCTTTAGTTGTGAGTTTTGAAGTTCTTTGAAGTTTTTTTGTTGTTATGAAGAGTAGATCTTATGGTTGTTGCTGATGTTAGAGTTTGGTATCTTTTAAATTTCTTTTTGCATCTAGTTCTTGATATAGTTATGCAATTACTTGTTGTTAAGTACATTCATAGTTTGGAGATTTTTATACACTTCAAAATGTTGTTGTAAAACAATAGTGGTATATTTCTTTGTTGACCTACTTCATTGATATATTAACATTGAATTTTTATGTGCTTAAGTTCCTATTAGATCTTCTTATAGTCATAAGAAGTGTTATGAGACATTAGAGGTGATAAAAGAGTGGCAAAGCTTGTATGAGAGTTTTTGATAGTGTGTAAGACTTGTGAGAAGTCTTATAAATGAAGTTGAGAGTGATCAAAGAGTGAAATCACTAGTTTACTCACAAAGAGGGCATTCTAGGATTCTAAGGCAGCAATACCTTTTTATTGATTTTGAGAGTTCTACTTTCTCTTTTCTTGATTTTTTTTGATACACCCCTTTTTTAGACATGGCTTTAAGTGAGGGTGAGGATTTGAGAGTGATTGAGAAGTTTAGAGGTGACAACTTCTACCATCGGAAGAAGAAAATGGAGCTTTTACTGGCTTCATTGGACCTTTGAGACATTGTTGATGAAAGTGAAGAGCCTCCTAGTGATGATAATGATGTGAAGGTGAAGAAAGAGTACAAACGATGTGAAAGAAAGGCTTTTGGCATGATTACAAAAAATCTTGATAATGCCAACTTTTCACATATCATTGTTTGCAATGGACCAGCAGAAGTATGGAAGACTCTTTGC